ATGGAACCAACTTAGGTGCCCTTCAACAGATGAATGGATAAAGAAAATATGATACACATACACAGTGGACTATTACACAACCTTAAAGATGAATGTCATTGAGTTAGTGCAGGTGCACATCTGTTATCCTAGTGGCTCTGGAAGCCGAGACAGGAGGATTTCGAGTTCAAAGCCAGCCTCAGCAATGGTGAGGTGCTAAGAAACTTATTGAGACCATGTCTCTAAATAAATACAAAGTAGGCCTAGGGATGTGGCTTAGTGGCTGAATGCCCGTGAGTTCAATCACTGGTAAACCACTACTCTCCCCCAAAAGAGGAATGAAATTATGGCATTTTCTAGTAACTGCATGGAACTAGAGGCTATCATGATAAGTGAACTAAGCCAATCCCCCAAACCAAAGGTTGAATGTTTTCTCTGATAAGTGATTGCTGATCCATAGTGAAGGGGGGGAGGGAACAATGAAGGAACTTTGAATAGGGGAGTGAGGGAAGGGGAGGAAAAGACTGTGGGGATGGGCAGGATGGTAGAGTGAGACAGACATTATTACCCTATGTACACACTACTGGTGTGACTCTGCACCATGTACAGAGAAGTTGTGCTCTATTTGTATCAAAAATGCATTGTACTGTCATGCATAACTAATTAGAACAAGTTTTAAGAAAACACTGTAAATTTCTGATTTAAAGAGACTTATTAGACAAAATAACTGAATATATGTGTGGCAAAACCAACTGAAATTTAAACTCCGAGATAACTCAGAAAATTTTAAATATAGACTTGGTGATAATAAGGAATCAGTGGTAATCGGTATAATGATGATGTAGTGTTTATATAAGAAAGTATTTCATACAAGTGCACACACAAACATATAAGGAGGAAATATGTAAGTCATCTACAATTATTTGAAAATACTTTAGCAAAATACCAATTGAAGCCAATATGGAAATAATAATTTTTCAGTATAGGTGATGGACTATGGGGTCTGCTACAATATTTTCGCCATTGTTCAATCTGTTTGAAATTTTTTATTATTCAGTTAAAAAAACTTGTCTCATTAAAGTATGGTGCAGTGATTTGTCAGCTAAACAGCACTGTTTTATCGTCATAGAAGGTGTTGCTTTTTTGTGCCCTTTGTGCGGCAGACATAAATGGCAATGGACTAGGAAACTAGGTGATTGCTTTATCCGTGGAACCCCACAGTAAAAATGAAACAATACTCTTCCCTCCTCCCTCCCCATGCTCTGATTTTTAACTTGGTCCCTGATTGCAGAAGGTGAAGTAGTTCAAAAGTAAAACTGAAACATATGGGATCTTAAAACTGGTATTTTAAACATTTTGTTTCAACTTCAAGATTTAGAAAAGAAGAATTTTAAACTACAGTTACCAAAGTCATTTTCTTTCCTTTCAAAATATTCTACAACCTGGATTATATTAACACGTACGAAATGATTGGCACTGTCTCAGGCACATAACTTCAATCAATTGCACTTCTTTGTCCTTTCCTGTTCAGAGATTTTGAGGAGTTGTTGCCACATCCTCCTGTGCTGTTTCTTCATAGGGTGCATTTTTGTAGACAGTATATGCCAGTATGGGTAAGGCTTTTTTCCCTTGGGATGTTTTGACACCCAGACTCTAAAATAAATCATATTCCCATTTCAATGGAACTGACTGATGGAAACAAGAAATTCACATTGCAGAGTGGGCTGATTCACATGACCTGGCTACTGATGGAACAAAACATGTTGTTGTTGTGTGTGGGTGGATTTTTTCCCTTACCTACATGTGATTTCTCTTTCCCTCCCCTGCTTCTTATTTTTCATCTACACGGGTGTCAGCAATTGCAGATTTAATAGTAGGGGGAATCCTGCTGTTCCCTTTCCTCAGCCTCAGCAGCTCCTTAAGCTGTGAATAGTGGAATTTTGCTTTCATTTTTAAAGCAACAATGGCCAGATGGAAGTATTTTGATTTCAATCTGGGATTTAAAAATAAAATCCTCACCGTATGATCATGAACTGTAAACACTTATTGAGCTGTCATGTAAGGCACTGTGGAGACCCTCTGGGGCAAGAGGCTGTGCTGTGGGGGGGGGGGCAGGTATAGCAGTTTGTGAATTCTTTGCTGAGATATGAGAAATAATTACTGTGGAAAATATTTGATAAGCACCACATGAGTGCCATGGACTGCAAGCATGGTACAAGTTCAGGGTCAAGAAATTGTTTCCAGCTGAGCCCTCATGGCTTCATGGATGATATAAAATGTAATCTGAACCTGCAGAAAGAGGTAAAATTTTGACACAGAGAAAGGGCAAGAAGCTATTTCCCTATGGGACTAATGAGTATATCCAGAAATGAGTTGTTTTAGGGTAACACAGGCCATTCTGGTTGAAGGGAAGATATCCTATTGAGACTGAGCATAGTGGGGGCAGGATTTTGGACCATGCTAAATACTAGGGAAACAGGATTTGGGGTAGTAATATGATCAGGCTGTGTTTGGGAGCTCAATCTGGCAGTGTCGACTTAAAGATGGGTTGCAGGAAGGAATGACCAAGACAGGGATGTCAATTAGCAGATAACTGTGGAACAGTTACTAGAAGGAGAACAAAGTGCAAATTCAGAGGAGATATGAGAATAAGAGAGTAGGTTAAAAGACATATATTGGTAAAGAAGAACTGATTTGATTTAAAGATTAACTGTAGGTCCTCAGAAAAAGAGTAGGAAAATTCACACAAATTTGCCTCATTTCATTGATGCAAGTAGTTAAGTTATATCTCATGTTACTCATTTGCGAATCTTTGAAAGAAAACTTGATTCTTCATTATTAATTTGTAAGAAATTTAGCCCCATCCTTATAATCACTAAGCTTTTGCACAAATCCCATGAGTGGTGTTAGTCAGTTTGGGCTGCTATAGCAAAAATACCACATACTGGGTGGCTTAAACAACAGAAATGTATTTCTTATAGTTCTGGAGGCCAGGAATTTCAAGATCCAGGAGCCAGCAGATTCAGTGTCTGGTAAAGTCCCTCTTCCTGATTTACAGATGACTGTCTTCTAGTTGTATCCTCATGAGGTGGATAAAGTGAACTCTAACCTCTTTCTCTTCTTATAAGAACATTAAATCACATCATGGGACTCCACTCTCGTGACCTCATCTAAATGCAGTTATCCCTCAAAGGCCTCAACTCCTGATACTATCCAGTTAGGGGTTAGGGTTTCAACATATGAGTTCTGTGGAGACACAGACATGCTGTTCCTAATCATGACACTTTCCTTCTTTTAGCCTGGACTGCCTTTTTATCCACTTCTCAGGGTAAGGAGAATAGTGCTGTGGAGGACAAAGAATGTAACCTGAAACTTTAATAGAATTTATTGCTTCATAAATAAAAATGTAAAAGTACTTCTGAGAAAGTAATCATAATTTAGGGGAGTAGGGATCTGGAGACAGACCCAGGAGGAAAGTCATGGAGAAAAGCCTACCTGGAAGGAAGTTCAGTGTTCTTCAGCAGAGGGACTGAGCCAATTTCAGGTGGCTCCAAAAGGAAGGAGCTTGGGAATAAATATTCTGAGCTTACTGTCTGCCCTCCTTTTTTCATTCCCCAATGAAGAATTTCATTCCCCAGTACCTCCTCTTTTTCTCCCCTTCTTCCTCCCCCTGATCTCATTTCTCTACCCCACTGGCTTCCCTTCTATTTTCAATTCCCTCGTTTTTTCTCTCTCTAGCTTTCATACATAGGAGAAAACATGCAACTCTTGTATTTCTGAACCTGATTTAATTTGCTTAACTTGATGTTCCCCAATTCCACTCATTTTCCTGCAAATGACATAATTTCATTCTTGTTTATGTCTGAGTAAAACCCCATCATGTAGGTCTACCACATTTTCTGTAACCGTTCATATGTTGATGGAATCCAAGTCTAGTTCCATAACTTGCCTATTGTGAATTGTGCTGCCTTAAATATGGGTATGCATGTATCACTATAGTATGAAGATTTTAATTCTTCTAGATAAATACCACAGGATGCTATAGCTCTATCATACGTTGGTGTATTCTCCCTGGATTCTTGCCACCATTTGTTATTTGTAGTCTTGATTTTAACTGGAGTCAGATGAAATCTCAGTGAGGTTTTGATTTGTATTTTCCTGATGGCTATTGATGTTGAAAATTTTTTGTCATACATATGTTGGTCATTTGTACTTCTTTTGAGAAGTGTCTGTTTAGTTCTTTTGACCATTTGACTGGGTGATTTGTGCTTTTGGTATTAAGTTTTTTGAGTTTTTCATATGTATTCTGGATATTATTCCTCTGTTGGAAGAATAGTTGACAAAGATTTTCTTCCATTCTGCAGGCTCTCTCTTCACAGTAATGTATATATTTTAATAAATATAGTATATATTTTTTAAAAGTCCCCTGTTATTAAATATTTGGATTGTTTCTTATTTTTTTTGCTATGATAAATAAGGCTGAAGTATATATAGTACAGATATATGTATTTATAATATTTACACATATATAAATAATTGTGTTGATCTGTTACTCTAGGATACATTTTTATAAACATAGTTGCATAGGTATTTTCAATTTTCCTTTCTGGGAGGTGAGGGTACAGTGAAAAGAACATATTTTAGGGCCATATATCCCTGATCTGTCCTGCTTCTGCCACTTTCTGGATGTGTGATGTTAGGCATGTGAGTTCATTCTAATGGAGCCTCCTTTTCTTATCTGTTAAACAGGAATCACATTGCTCTCCTCCCTTTGGCACACGCCTGTATACACTTTTCTGTATTGAATGAAGAAAGTATTCTTACAAGATTTATTCAGTATTAAGAAAGAAGTAAAACTGACTTGCAAATAGGCATATTTTGACTATCAGAAATTCTTCTGTAAAATAGAAACCCAAGTGTAAGTTTTGATAATGAAGGCAGAAATGGAAACCTCAACACTATCTTTGTACAGAGCAGTACAGTCAGTCTTTCTAATCTTCCCCATGCCTTTGCTTCCTCAGTGCTCATCTTCAAACTCTACCAGCGGGCAAAGCACGTGTACAGTGAGGCTGCAAGAGTGCTCCAATTTAAGAAGATATGTGAAGAAGCACCTGACAACATAGTCCAGCTGCTGGGAGAGTTAATGAACCAGAGCCACAAGAGCTGCCGGGACATGTATGAATGCAGTTGCCCTGAGCTAGACCAGCTGGTGGACATCTGTCGGTGAGGCTGAGACAGAAGCATGATGGAGACCAAAAGATTCTACCAAAGAATAGTGTTCAAATCACTGAAAAAAAAAATGCAACATTTTCATAATCTTTTACATGAAAGAAGGCTCTTCTTTCCTTCCTCTATAAGGGTCCTCCCATAATATAGACCCCAACTTTATTCCTTTATTTATATATCTATAGGATGAAAGCTTTGAGACCTGACCCCATGGTTTTATGAGGTTCTTTTTTTTTCTACTTTTTTTTGTGATAATTATTATTATTTTTTATTGGTTGTTCAAAACATTACAAAGCTCATGGCATATCATCTTTCATACATTTGATTCAAGTGAGTTATGAACTCCCATTTTTACCCCAAATACAAATTGCAGAATCACATCAGTTACACATTCACAATTTTTACATAATGCCATATTAGTGACTGTTGTATTCTGCTGCCTTTCCTATCCCCTACTATCCCCCCTCCCCTCTCATCTTCCCTCTCTACCTCATCTGCTGTTGTTTAATTCTCTCCCTTGTTTCCCCCACCGTTTCCCCTCACAACCTCTTATATGTAATTTTGTGTAACATTGAGGGTCTCCTACCATTTCCATATGCTTTCCCTTCTCTCTCCCTTTCTCTCCCCCCTCTCGTCTCTGTTTAATGTTAATCTTTTCCTCATGCTCTTCCTCCCTGTTCTGTTCTTAGTTGCTCTCTTTATATCAAAGAAGACATTTGGCATTTGTTTTTTAAGGATTGGCTAGCTTCGCTTAGCATAATCTGTTCTAATGCCATCCATTTCCCTGCAAATTCTATGATTTTGTCATTTTTTAGTGCTGCGTAGTACTCCATTGTGTATAGATGCCACATTTTTTTATCCATTCATCTATTGAAGGGCATTTAGGTTGGTTCCACAGTCTAGGTATTGTGATTTGTGCCGCTATGATCATTGATGTGGCAGTATCCCTATAGTACGCTCTTTTAAGATCCTCAGGGAATAGTCCGAGAAGGGCCATAGCTGGGTCAAATGGTGGATCCATTCCCAGATTTCCCAGGAATCTCCATACTGCTTTCCAAATTGGCCTCACCAATTTGCAGTCCCACCAGCAGTGTACAAGTGTACCCTTTTCCCCACATCCTCGCCAACACTTATTGTTGTTTGACTTCATAATGGCTGCCCATCTTACTGGAGTGAGATGGTATCTTAGGGTGGTTTTGATTTGCATTTCTCTGACTGCTAGAGATGGTGAGCATTTTTTCATGTACTTGTTGATTGATTGTATGTCCTCCTCTGTGAAGTGTCTGTTCAGGTCCTTGGCCCATTTGTTGATTGGGTTGTTATCTTATTGTTTAATTTTTTGAGTTCTTTGTATATTCTGGATATTAGGGCTCTATCTGAAGTGTGAGGGGTAAAAATTTGTTCCCAGGATGTAGGCTCTCTATTTACCTCTCTTATTGTTTCTCTTGCTGAGAAAAAACTTTTTAGTTTAAGTAAGTCCCATTTGTTTATTCTTGTTATTAACTCTTGGGCTATGGGCGTCCTATTAAGGAATTTGGAGCCCGACCCCACAGTATGTAGATCGTAGCCAACTTTTTCTTCTATCAGACGCAGTGTCTCTGATTTGATATCTAGGTCCTTGATCCGTTTTGAGTTAACTTTTGTGCATGGCGAGAGAATGGGATTCAGTTTCATTTTGTTGCATATGGATTTCCAATTTTCCCAGCACCATTTGTTGAAGATGCTACCCTTCCTCCATTGCATGCTTTTAGCCCCTTTATCAAATATAAGAAAGTTGTACTTTTGTGGATTGGTTTCTGTGTCCTCTATTCTGTACCATTGGTCCACCCGCCTGTTTTGGTACCAGTACCACGCTGTTTTTGTTACTATTGCTTTGTAGTACAGTTTGAACTCTGGTATCGCTATACCTCCAGATTCACACTTCCTGCTTAGAATTGCTTTTGCTATTCTGGGTCTTTTGTTTTTCCATATGAATTTCATGATTGCTTTATCTATTTCTACAAGAAATGCCATTGGGATTTTGATTGGCATCGCATTAAACCTGTAGAGAACTTTGGGTGATATCGCCATTTTGATGATGTTAGTTGTGCCTATCCATGAACAGGGTACATTTTTCCATTTCTAAGATCTTCTTCTATTTCTCTCTTTAGGGTTCTGTAGTTTTCATTGTATAAATCTTTCACCTCTTTTGTTAGGTTGATTCCCAAGTATCTTATTTTCTTTGAGGATATTGTGAATGGAGTGGTTTTCCTCATTTCCATTTCAGAAGTTTTGTTGCTGATATACAGGAATGCCTTTGATTTATGTGTGTTGATTTTATATCCTGCCACTTTGCTGAATTCATTTATTAACTCTAGCAGTTTCTTTGTAGACCCTTTTGGGTCTGTTAAATATATTAACATGTCATCCGCAAATAGCGATAATTTAAGTTCTTCTTTTCCTATTTTTATGCCTTTAATTTCTTTTCTGTCTAATTGCTCTGGCTAGTATTTCAAGAACTAAATTGAATAGAAGTGGTGATAGAGGGCATCCCTGTCTTGTTCCAGATTTTAGAGGGAATGCCTTCAGTTTTTCTCCATTTAGGATGATGCTAGCCTGAGGTTTAGATATATAGCTTTTACCATGTTGAGCTAAGTTCCTGTTATCCCTAGTTTTTCTAGTGTTTTGAACATAAAGGGATGCTGAACTTTGTCGAATGCTTTTTCTGCATCTATCGAGATGATCATATGGTTCTTGTCTTTAAGTCTATTGATGTGGTGGATTACATTTATTGATTTCCGTATATTGAAGCAGCCTTGCATCCCAGGGATGAATCCTACTTGATCATGGTGCACAATTTTTTTGATATGCTTTTGTATTCGATTCGCCAGGTTTTTATTGAGAATTTTTGCATCCAAGTTCATTAGAGATATTGGTCTGTAGTTTTCTTTCTTTGAAGTGTCTTTGTCTGGTTTTGGGATCAGGGTGATGTTGGCCTCATAGAATGAATTTGGAAGAGCTCCTTCTTTTTCTATTTCTTGAAATAACTTGAAAAGTATTGGTATTAATTCTTCTTTGAAGGTTTTGTAAAACTCTGCTGTATATCCATCCGGTCCAGGGCTTTTTTTGGTTGGTAGTCCTTTGATGGCTTCTTCTATTTCTTCTTTTGTTATTGGTCTGTTTAAATTGTGTGTGTCTTCCTGACTCAATCTGGGTAGATCGTATGACTTAAGAAATTTATCGATATCTTCATTATCTTCTATTTTATTGGAATATAGAGTTTCAAAATACTTTCTAATTATCTTCTGTATCTCTGTAGTGTCTGTTGTGATATTGCCTTTTTCATCCTGTATGTTAGTAATTTGAGTTCTCTCTCTTCTTCTCTTCGTTAGCATGGCTAAGGGCCTGTTGACCTTATTTATTTTTTCAAAGAACCAACTTTTATTTTTTTCTTGTTTCAATTTCGTTGATTTCTGCTCTAATTTTAATTATTTCTTGTCTTCTACTACATTTGCTGTTGTTTTGCTCTTCCTTTTCTAGGTTTTTGAGGTGTAGTGTGAGTTCATTTATTTGTTGGTTTTTTCTTTTTTTGAGGAAAGAACTCCAAGAAATGAATTTCCCTCTTAAAACTGCTTTCATTGTGTCTCATAGATTCCGGTATGTTGTATGTGTATTGTCATTTGTCTCTAAGAATTTTTTTTATCTCCTCCTTTATGTCTTCTGTAACCCATTGATCATTCAGTAACATATTGTTCATTTTCCATGTGATGTAGGATTTTTCCTTCCTTCTTTTATCATTGATTACCAGTTTCATTCCATTATGATCAGATAAGATGCATGGTATTATCTCCACACCTTTATATTTACTGAGAATCGACCTATGGCATAATATATGGTCTATCTTTGAGTAGGATCCATGTGCTGCTGAGAAGAACGTGTATCCACTTGATGATGGTTGATATATTCTATATATGTCGGTTAAGTCTAGGTTATTGATTGCGTTATTGAGTTTTATAGTTTCTTTGTTCAGCTTTTGTCTAGAGGATCTGTCCAATGGCGAGAGCGGTGTGTTGAAGTCACCCATAATTATTGTGTTGTGGTCTATTTGACTCTTGAACTTGAGGAGAGTTTGTTTTATGAATGTTGCAGCACCATTGTTTGGTGCATACAAATTGATAATTGTTATGTCTTGATGGTGGATGGTTCCTTTTAACAGTATATAGTGTCCTTCTTTATCCTTTTTGATTAACTTAGGTTTGAAGTTGATTTTATTCGATATGAGTATGGCCACTCCTGCTTGTTTCCGAGGGCCATGTGAGTGGTATGATTTTTCCCAACCTTTCACCTTCAGCCTGTGTATGTCTTTTCCTATCATATGAGTCTCCTGAAGGTAGCATATTGTTGGATTTGTTTTTTTAATCCAGATTACTAGCCTATGTCTCTTGATTAGTGAATTTAAGCCATTAACATTTAAGGTTACAATTGAAATATGGTGTGTACTTCCAGTCATGTTTATTTATTTATTTATTTTAGTTTGGCTAGTTTTTCCTTTTTGGTTATTTTTCTCCCCCTTTACTGAGATACCTCCCACTGTTAATTTTGGGCACTATTTTTCAATTTCTCTTCTTGTAGTATCTTGCTCAAAATGCTTTGCAGTGCTGGTTTTCTGGCTGCGAATTATTTTAGCTTTTGTTTATCATGAAAGATTTTAATTTCATTGTCAAATCTGAAGCTTAATTTTGCTGGATACAGTATTCTTGGTTGGAATCCATTGTTTTTCAGCATTTGAAATACGTTGTTCCAGGATCTTCTCGCTTTCAAAGTCTGTGATGAAAAATCAGTCGTTAACCTAATTGGTTTACCCCTGAATGTAATCTGCCTCCTTTCTCTCGTAGCTTTTAATATTCTCTCCTTGTTCTGTATGTTAGCTGTCTTCATAATTATATGTCTTGGAGTTGGTCTATTACGTTTTTGGATGTTTTGGGTCCTGTAGGCTTCCAGGATTTGGCAATCCATTC